GGTCCGTATAGTCCGTACGTCTGTATAGTCTTCTTTCACTGAGAAATGGATATAATTTCACTCGTAGGAAATCCGTGTTGATGTTCTATGAGAAATTCCGTGTACAACAATGCTAGAAACGGAGATCAAAGCTGATACGTAGTCAGTACGGACGTCGTGGAATGGGTTCTGACGAAACCTACGTGTCGGTTGTTGGTGCTATTAGTAATTGTATTATTATAACGGGGTGAGTGAGATATGGCTAGATACCTTTTTATGATGAAAAATAATAGATATTGCTGGTATAGATAACTTTTTATAAGATGCTTATGATCGTTAAGGTGCGATCATTGACCAGGTCGCGAGCAGCTTAGCTCGTGAGATAGATTCGAAACGAACGAGTGCATAGGCGGCTGATAAAAAGTGGATCTGTATGTATATGTGATGAGAAGTGGCGTCTCACGCCGCGTTTGGTAAATCATGGGTTATTACGGGAGAGATGGAACATTGGCGCACAGGATATATAGATGGGCATCGATGTGGCGCTGACGACGCACGTAGTCGGAGAGGTGAGAGAGCGGCGCGCCCGCGCCGCGCGGGCGCCGAGTGGCGCCGCGGGCTTGGTGGGCGCGCGTCATGGAGGCGACCTGGGCTATAAGCGTGCCGGCGCGGCCGGCGGGGCTGCGGCGGGCTGCTCGTCGCGCGCGCATCGCGACGATCGCCAGTGTGGCATTGCGTCTTCCTGCGCTGGCTGCTCTTCCCCGGCCGACTCCGCCGCGCTGCCCTCGCTCCACGCAGCAGGCCGCGGCGGACACGCCCGCGCGCCCGGTGCCGCCGAACAGTGAAGCTCGACGCTCAACGCGCACGCATGCGTTAGAATAATAGGTTTCCTGCGTAGACATGGTCGTATTTGTTGATTTCCTTCACCTCAGTCATTTCATCAATCGCTCTTAAATCACGTCTCAAGGTCGTAAATTGGTAACAATGTCGTACTGGAAGAATACAGGCTGAAAAGCGACAAAGTTTTGCATACGTTAATCGGGCGTGGTCAATAATGCTATACCCCAATGGGATGATGATATGATGATGATGAGATAATATAATATAAAAAAATAAAATAAATAATAATAATAATAATAATAATAGATAAAATAGTAACAATAAATCATTTATTTGCCGAGATCTGGTTAGCCGAAATCGGTAAGGCAGTAGTGCAGTGGCGATCTCGAACGGAAGTATCGCGAGTTCGTGTCCCGCCGCAGCCATGGTTGTTTTCGTATATTTGTATTTCTATGACCTCCATTTCCTAGCCATTAGTTACCCATCATCATTCCATAGCCCATACTACCAGGACTAGCATCCCTGGACGGTGAAAATCGGATTCAGTTTAATGCTGTTGCCGCCAATAAGGAGTCACATACAGTTGCCACGGGGTAAATATAATTGAGCCTCGGTAAGGTCAAATTTATGTCCGCGTGGTCCTTGATGGCCATTTACCAACCAATAATAATAATAATAATAATAATAATAATAATAATAATAATAATAATAATAATTGTTATTATTAATAGTATTATGTTTGTCACAGTATAGCACAAGATGTGTGTATATTTCAATTTGCAGAAGGCCTTCTGGATATATCTTTTTCTCCCTACCCTCTCAACCACTAATTTACCGGCTTAGGTAGCTTAGGGCATCAACTAATGTCACTGCAGCTGACTGAGAAGTCCTAGGTTTTGAATCCCCTGCGGTCGCAGTATTTTAGACTCGAGCACGTCAGCTAGCACGAATACAGTCGCTGTCGAGAAGATTTCTAGCGGCCGGCTGCTCTGGTCGGTAGTTTTCCGTGGTTTCTCCGATCAACACCAGGCGAATGTCGGAGCAGTACCCTAACAAACAGGCCATGAACCACTTGCGATCTTTCCTTCCTCTTCCGTGTACTCTCATCCCTTACTTACTCATAATTACACTCACGTCCACTACACTATCGCACTTGTCGGGAGCTTTGAGCTTTCCCCGGCTGGGGTGGTGTTTCGGTGTTAAGAGATGGCTGGTTCGGGAAGATTCCCGCAAGCCGACGGTAGGTCGGAGCCGGATATCGCCAGCCTGCGGAGCAAGATCACCGCCAGAGACACTACACGTACGGGAAAAATGATCTTAGCCGTTGACGCGCTTGAAATCATCAATCAATCGATCTATCGTTCCTCTACGCCTCACGTGAACCTTTACACTTTCTGCACACCTCTTTCCTCCCGGAGAACTTTTCTTTACGCCCTGATCAAATTCCCTTTGTTCGCGTTGCTGCGCTCACCAATTTCCTCTGATCAGTTCGTGCCACCTTTGCGTCCTACGTCCGTGTCTCATTCGTTTTTGTAGCATCTCGCCCTAAGTAATTGATTAGTCTTTGTAAAGTGCCAAGAAATTCCCCGTTTTCTGGGTAATTTTCTTTTAAGAGTCCATTACCTTTTTCGTCATTTTGTATTTCTTCGCCTTGCCACGGGTGGTGTTTCTCGAGATGAGACATGGATTTGTTTATTATCATTTATCTTCTTGTCTGAGCGCTACAAATTGTTTGGTAGTTCTCGCTGTTGGTGCGATTCCCCATTAATGCCGCGTAAGGCGTCTGATACTCAATTACCTTTTTTTTTGTGCGAATCGATTCTCTTGGGTCGCCCGATAGTCACAAGTTATCTATTAGCAGCTTTCACTATCTAGTTTGACACTTGACAAAAACACTTTCCGGTCCTACTATATTTGCATTCGAAGCAGGATTCACTTCCCATTTAAAAATGTAGAGCTTTTATGGAATAATTGGATGTCCTTTTAAAGATTGTAATGAATTTCATTTCATTAATTGAATTTATTGTTACTTATTTATGAACTTATGTTACTTTCTTCATTGAATTTTTGAAGTGTGAGAATACAAAGGTGCTTCAGTATAATATGCCGACACAAGAGCCATCACGGTCTGTGAAGTGCCTGGCTGCATTGTGATGAAATCTGATGTCTCATCCATGACTAATTTGTTCAATCGGTCGAGAGATGCGACGCGCTCAGCGGATATCAATTGGTTTCTGTCAGTTGGAAATGATTACGGTTGCGAAAGTGCGACAGTGAGCAAAACAGTAAGATCAGGCAGTAATTTCAGGTGACTGTTTCAAATTTGTTAGAAAATTTTATTTCGTCAAAATGAATTCATTTTCAACACACACGCGAAATATAGTAAAACAGTACAAAGGTCTTTCAACTCCTGTGAATAATACTGTTTATACAAGTGTCCAAATTTATCCGAACTAATTTTATATTTTCCAATCGATCTGGTAGATGTCCCCTTGAATTTGAAATGAATATTTTGATTTAGGTGGGTGATTTACATGAACCGTTACATTTCGAAAAGTTCCTCAAAATGGCTTCAAATTGTTTCGTTTCATTTTTTGTCATATAGAGCAATGTACTCTTATACAAATGTTGCAGATCCTATTTTCGATAACCACTTTGAATTTTCGAAAATTGCAAAAGTCACAAATTCTTCGGAAATGTATGTGATATAGTGTTTCTAGTTGAATAAAGTATTGTGATAATTCGCGATATAGTGAAATTCGACAAAAAAGGGAAATTATTCTCATCTACTGATATGAGGATTTACTCAAAATTTAATTTTCTCTGGTTTTTAAACTCACAAAAACGTGGTTTATGAGTACGTTTCCCCGACCGCTTCCACTTCCTAACTACCAAGAGCGAGTCGCGAGTCGCAGATTGCGAGTTGTGGAGTGCAAGTTGCAAGTCACAAGTCGCGAGTCGCAAGTCGAAAATTTGCGAGTTGAGAGTAGGGAGGAGCAAGGTGCGAGTTGTGTCTCGCGAGTCGCTAATTGCGCGTTGCGAGTTGTATAATGCGAGTTGCGAGTAGGGAAGGGAGAGGTACGAGTTGTGACTCGTGAGTCGCGATTTGCGAGTTGGATAATGCGAGTTGCGAGTTGAATAATGCGAGTTGCAAGTTGGATAATACGAGTTGCGAGTTGAATAATGCGAGTTGCGAGTTGGATAATGCGAGTAGGGAAGGGAGAGGTACGCGTTTTGACTCGTGAGTAGCGATTTGTGAATGTCGAGTTGCGTTTTGGAAGGTGTGTGTAGCGAGTCGCAAGTTGCGGGTTACTAGTTGACAGGTGCTCTCGACACGCGAGTCGTGAGTCTTCACGAGTCGAGAGCTGCGGGTTGCGACTTGGGAAGTGTGAGGTGCGAATTGCGAGTTGGGAGGTCCGAAGACCGAGAAGAGAGGATAGAGGAGCGAGAAACGAAGGACGATTGATTAATTATTTAGTTATTGCGGGAGCGTCAACTGCTAAAATCATTAGTCACGCAAGTGTAGTGTATGAATTGCCCTCGAGAGGAGGCGGTGATGTTCCCACGCTGGATGGTGAAATCCGGCGCCGATCTACCGTCAGTTCACGGGGTTTTCCCACCAGCGGAGACCGTCCTAGGCGGGCTAAGCTCTAAGCTCCCAACTGGTCTCTCGGTATGAGTGGTAATGTAGTACCTGCTAATGTGAGAGGTGTAAGGGGTTAGGATATGACAAGGAATATGAAGGAAAGATCGCCGTTCTATGGCCGGTTTGTTAGGATACTGCTCCGGCATTCGCCTGGTGTCGATCTGAGAACCCAAGGAGATACTAATCAGAGCAGACGACCGCTAGAATTCTCCTCCAGATAGCGCCTGAATTCGACATAACTGACAAGCCAATGTCGAACATCCGATTGTCGGGAGCCTAACCCTAGGACTTCCCAGTCAGAGGCCCCGCAGCGATGTCCAGAGCCACCTCCCGCGGTGCGGAGTCCGAGCGCGATGCGAGCTGGGAGGTGCGAGGGCGGAGTATGGTGCGCAGGCTGCGGCCGACGGCGGCGGAGCAGCGCGAGGCGCTGGCGTCGGCGCTGGCGTCTGCGCTGTGGCGGTGCGCGTCGGAGCGCGGGCGCGCGCGCGTGGCGCTGCCGCTGGCGGCCGAGGAGCGCGCGCCGTGGGCGCCCTCCGCCGCGCTGCTGCCCGACGGCGTCACCGAGCGCCTCGTCGTCTTCGACGCCGCCTCCCTCGACGACCTGCGCCTGCTGCTGCGCCGCTTCCTCTACGTGGTACGCGCCACCCTTCCCTTGCCTTCCTTCTCGTTCTTTCTTTCTTCCCTCCTTTCCTTCTCTCCAGTTTCCTTTTTATCCCTCTCTTTCTTTATCTTCCTTTCTTTTTTCCCTTTCGCCCCTCTTTTTTATTTCTTTAGTTCTTCTTCCTTTCCTTCCTTCTTTCTTTCTTTCCTTCCGCCTTTTTTTCTTCCCTCCTTTCTCTCTTTCTTTTCTTACTTCCTCTCCCCTTTCTTCCATACCTCCTTTCCTTCTTTCTTTCGTCCCTCTTTTCTTTCTTTCTTTCTTTTTACTATCTCGCCTACTACGTACTTATAGAGAAAAGATACAATGTAATTCTATAACAAAATCGGGCGATTTTTGTACAAAAAACTCGTTTAGTGAGCCCCTGATACTTTGGATACTTCTTGATTCTTTATATAGTAAATTAAAACTCTTTACGAAGTTGTGTATAGAGAATTAACATTTTGTGGGTAGGAAAAATTAGCTTAAGGCAAAACATCTGACCGTCCGTGTGTGGAGAATGGTGCCTAATCCGTTTATACAATTCTCTCTAAATTTGACATTCCCTGGTCGATCAGGCCAAGCTCAAGGCATTTTGAAACGGATTCTTTGATTTATTGACATTTTTATTTGGAGGGGGGATACTTTATATGAACCCTCAGTCACATTTTAAAATTTTCTCATAAATAGTTCCGAAGTTTTGGATTACTTTTTTCTCGGATACTCCGAATTAAGTATACGTACGCTGTTTCGATTTTAGTTGATTCTCTGAATTCTCTGAATCCTCAAAAATTGAAAAAAATTGTTTTCCAGCGATTACAACTTTGAAAAAAATATTTTTCTTAATAAAACATGTTCTCAAACATTAGTTATTTAAATAACATCATGAATTTTTTTCTCAAAATATAGGTTCTACCTGGTCAACAAAATGCCCAGAAGTTTGTTATTCCTACTGAGAAAATTGGTACCGTAGAAGTACAGATAGCTTGCTCTAAATAGAAAGGGAGCTCGAACCCTAGCGTTAGCAAAATTTTCTGCAATAGAAAATCTTTTGCGGCTACAAATACTGTTGTAATATAACATAAACGTTAAATAATGCGAAAAAGTACGCGCGGTTGTACTATCTCTAGTTTCTTTCTTTCTTTTTTCTTTATTTCTCTATTTCTTCTTTACTTTCTTTAGTTTTCCTCCCTTCGTTCTGTCCATCCATTCCTTCCATCTTTCTTATGTCTTTCTCTCTCCATTTATTCCTTTCTTCTTTCTTTCTTTCTTTCTTTCTAAGTTTTCTTTCCCTCTCTTTCTATCCAGTCGCCAAAACCAAAATTTTCCGCCATTCATTTCTCTTTAAATGGACCTATCTTAGACAAAATATATAATACATGATTACAACACCTCATTTAATATTTGTTTCGATCAATTATTTCAATAATTCTTTTTGTTTTTTAACTTTCATCCATGGTAGACTTTTACATGATACATGTATATTGTATATTAGAATACCAGACTTACCGTCGAAACAATACGAAAATAATATCGTGAAAATTCTCCTCGTACTACATTCCATTCTATTCAATTGTTAGTTTCGTATTTTCAGGAGAGCTTGAAGAGAGAAAACAACTTTCAATGTAAAATAACTTTACCAAACTTTTGGATCATGTTTCGTGTCAGCTGCGACTAGAAATCTACAAACTTTATTATTAAAATCGGACGGTAAATTAGTACCTAGGAAGTATTTTTGGTAGCATAACAATTTCCCTGTTACGAAAAGAGTAATTTATGAAAAATTATTATAATTTAGTTCATACACACAGTTATGATTTTCGAATATAATTTATAAATAGAATATCAGGGTCAAGACTATTTTAGTAATATTAATATAACTAAAATATAGTTACTTTTATGTATATGGTTATACTTAGCTGTTTTTAGAGAGATTCACACCCTTTTGTGTTCAGTTTCAGGAGGAGGCGGGCCCTGGCTGCCTCTGCCTGTTGTACAGCGCGGTCCTCACCCGTGGAATTGACAGGTGGGCAGACTTGCGAACAATCAAGGTTGCGGATCATATTTGTTAGGATGACAAAATCGAATTGTGATTATTATCAAATAGTTGAAATGTATTTTAGATTCTCTTCAATTCAAATTTATTGAAGTTTTATGGCAATATTTCGGTGTTCCAGGTACATTAAATAGGATAATGTTTTCACATGCGCAGAATTATCTGGAAGGGTTGTAAGAATTATTTATTGTAATTCAAAATTCGTGCTCTCATTTAAAAATTTCGTAATAAATGTCTTCTGGGTGTTGTTATGTTAGGTCAATAAATACATAAGAAACTAAGGAGATGAAATTAGAGAAACATATTCTTTACTTCATATTAAAATCATATTGTGGAAAAGGCGAAATGTTGTTGCAAATTTGTATACTTATCCTCAACATCTAAATTACGTTGTTTGATCGTGAATTAGTAAGTAACATTGTATGATCATCTTGGAATTAAATAGTCTATTTCCAAAAAGACTTAGTACTTCCTTTACCGTTTGTTTTTTCAATCTTGAAACGGTTTGTATATCAGTATATTCTTAGGACGTTTCTCCATCATGCTGTAATATATTGTGTTGAGTTGTTATTTTTTGTGTTAAACGGTATTCGAAAAGTGTTGAATACGATCTAGAACCACTGAATGTGGCTGAATGTGGATATTTTATTTCCCTGAAAACGTGTGTCTTCTAGATACGCTCTTCAGAAATAAGGACTTCACTTCAAAAATAAGCTCTTCAGTTATTCGAATTCAGCTTTTTGTCTAATTCACGATCTTAATCTTAATATATAAAAATATATGTGTACGTTTTTATTCCAGATTTACCTTTTTTTGGAACTCCGGGAGAGATAGCTCTCAGATCTTAGATGAACACCTTTGAGAAACTGAGGAAAGGAGGGGGTCCGCGATTGGACGATAATTACGTACCTCAAATTTAGTTACATACCGAAATTAGTGTTACTGGAAATCCACAGTACGGGGTAACGTTGCAGGGCGACTGTATTATAGCTAGGCGATGCCATCCGAGACGCGGTTTATCCAATTGTATTGGTGGGGGCGAGGCGTGGTACTGTCTGAGCGGCCGGAGGGAGGGGACTGGTCAGAGTGTAAATAAGTATCCGGAATGCGTCTGATTATTTCGTAGCTGGCTAATATAATTTTTTTCAGTGCTCGTTTCTCGAGATGATAAGTCGTTAATTATTCGCCTTGCGAATGAAGAATGCGACAGGAGAACACTCTAGTAGCAGTTTGAGGAACTTGGGATGGCGCGCTTGCTGAGTGAAGGCGGATTCTCCTCGAACCTCGCATCTTCTTTCGATATCTCGATCCTAGAACGAGGCGAGGGAGAAGCTTGGACAACTATCACCAAAAGACTCGAAACGTAGTGCCATTTATGCAAGAGCAACCTCATCCCTAAAATTAGGTGCAGAAAATTCACATCAGATATTCGGACGTTCAGCTATGTAAATAAAACTATAAACTGGAATAATTTACCGGCACACTTGCTAGTGTCTTACCTAGTAGCACCAACAGCATGCATGGGAGAGATTATTAATAAACACAAGCTACGAAAAGTGATCTGCAGCTATGGCATAAACAATAAGGACAATTTGAAAGAAAGGAGGATGAATTAGCCCCGTAGCAAATTTTGAGTTTTTTCTTCTAAATAAAACGAAATTTTCGAAATTAAATGAAATGTAGTGACACGAAAAATGATCAGAGAATCAAACTTATAATAATGTGAGTGTGATATTTATAGTAAGTTAAGGGTAAAGTTTGCCTCGCTGGTAAACCTCGGATTACCCTGGTAAACTGACGACTATTCGCGAGATGTGGATTAAGTCTGAAGTACAGTTAGAATAAAACAAGTTTTGATCTTTACCCGGGAGCACGGACGGTGACTCGCCGGCGCAGATGTAGTTCATTAATCTATTTCTAGTTCCGCGATTCCATGAATTTGGGTGGTTTGTGGTGGATAAAATAGATTTTTAAAAAGACGTTTTGGAAACTCATCCCTTACTCGTCCTTTACTACCTTTCATTATGTCATTACTCTTACTCCAGTGTGATCATTCACTCATTTCTCTGTATGCATCTCAGAAGGCTCATCTACACCCTTTGACTTTTCGACATAGTAGTATGAACAACTGGCCATCTTTATCATTGATCCACCTCCATGTTACCATCATATTCATCTATTACCCTGATTCTTTCGTCAGAGCTGCGATTCCACCTTCAGATGGTCGTGCACATGCTATAGAGAAATTACAATAAGAAGGGACCTCGTGGCACCTATTGCTTGGCCACTGCTGGCAATACAACTGCAAGTTACGTCCATGCACTCATGTTGTCAGTGCGTTCGTTTTCAGTTAGTTCATTTGCAAATGGATCAATCACTATCTAATACAATGTCATTGAACTGCACGACATTCATTTGTTTCCCGGCCTACGTGTATGAAAGTGGTCCCTTCTTAAGGCCCATTCACAATGTAAACGTAAACATAAGCATAACGCATACACGTAAACATTAACACAAGTCATAGACTGAAGTATTCACAATGTCTGACATAAACGTAAGCAAAATAAGAGTTTCTATTGGCTGTGAGACATTATAGTTTACTTTTGGTTGGACGTGAGAATCGATTTCGAGGTATCAACTGTGTTCATGGCCCATATGTCGTTAGTTAGTTTATAGACTTCACTGCTATTTCGATTTTCGGTTATGAGTTACCGTACTGTGATTGGTTCATTTCTTATGTCTTACTTAAGCATAAGCACAGCAGCTTGAAGCTTGCAAGCTTTTAAGTTACCGTCCAACGTGTTATGCTTATGCGAACGCATTGTGAATGAGTCCACTTATGGAAGTAGTCCTAACTTTTATGTTAACGCCATGCTTATGTTTACGTTTGCATTGTGAATGGGCCTTAAGAGTAGCTCCTCTGTACGTCGCGGAGTCCTCGGCAAGGCCTATCCTTCCGATCCGCCTTCTAATGGGCGTGCGTCGCGCAGGGTGGTGAAGGACCTGGACGGCGCGCAGGAGTCGCTGGTGGGGTCGGAGGACGAGGGCTCGCCCTGCCTGGTGACGCTGCTGCTCACGGGCCGCGCCACGCCCTACCTGCACAACGGCGTCGTCTACGTCGGCGACGAGGACCACTACGTGAGTACTGCGCGGAGGAGAGTTCTAGCGGCCGGGGGCTCGGAGTGGGAGTTTTCACCGATGAACAGGTGAATGCCGGAGCAGTACTCTCACAAACGGGCCACGGACTGCGTACGAACTTTCTTTCCTTGCCCTCCTTTCTCAACACGCACACATACACACACGTACACTTATGTATACTACATTACCTACCACACAAGTCGGAAAACTAGTAGGGACCTTCGAGCTTGTCACTGCTGGGGGGGGGGGAAACCTAAAGAGGGGAATCCGATGGCCGACCTTTAATGTCGGTTTGTCGGATCTTATGACACCGGAGGAACATCTCTACTCTGCGAGGTATAACATACATACACTACGGTATAATGTTCGTAAAGTCTCATTTATTTTTTTACAATATGTATTTATTTTCTGGATAGTTAATCTAGATGAGTACTTTTAGGCTGCCAACTGGGAGATGTTGGCACCTAATGCAGGTAACAACAATTCGAATTGCGAAGTATCTTAATGTTGTGAATTGCATTGTTACGTATGGCTTACAAGAAGTAATATTGCAATCGAAACGTTTTGAATTTACGTGAAGAAAGGGCTTCAGATAGACAGCTTACGTCCGAGTTGGATTTGTAAATAAGGTCGAAAAATTAATAGTTGCAGAACTAAATAGACGAATGCGGGTGCCTGCATTGTTCATAATTGGCATTGTGTGGAACAGGATTCGTCATCAATTTATTTCAGTATCACGTTTTGATAAAGTGTTTCTTTTGCAACGAAATTGCTCGGCCTGATACCATTTTCGGTACTTGCAACTTGAGTTGATTAATATAGGGCGATTGTCTAAATTCACATATTGATATCTTAGTTGAGTCAAATGCTCATTTGAGAGATCAGTTTATTGACCTGCATTCGTGGTGTCTGTTCATCTAATAATTATCTCACAGCAGGTTTACTCAATGCTGTTAATAAAACAAGCTGACGTTGGTCAAAACGAGCTTTTTATTGGATAAAAATATTTTTTTGACGTATTTTTAACAATCTAGATTTTAGCCGTTGAGTTGAGATTAACTCAACGAAGAGGCAAATACAGGTAACTTTCTTACTGAAACAACAAGCTTGTAAGTTACAGAATATGCAAAGGAAGGTATGACAGCTCTTTAGGGTATCTTCTGGGTCTTCGAATCTTGAAGAATTACGAAATTATACAACGCACACGACACAGATAAGTGAACACGATTCCATGATATAGAAATTCGGAAAATAGATTTTCAGAGAGAGCGTATGTGAACACATGGAAGACGGTAAATAGAAGGGATTGCGTTTGCAACTTTTTCGTAGGTGGTTGTTCGAGCGCAGGTAGAGGCACTCTGAGCATCGCGTGTGCCACTCCGCTTTAATGGAGCCGTCCGCCTTCACTTCTCTTGGCATCTGCCAATCATCATGGAAAGTGGCCCCTCCTGGCTTTTTGTTTTGCTTCAATTGAAATTATTTTCGCTGATGGCAATGCGCATCGCACGCGTTGCGTGACTGCGGTGTTGCTTGCCCATGTATTGAATGTCTCGTACTGTTTCGTATGTGACGGTCAATTTGGAAAGGATCCATTTCTTATGTTGCATTTTATTGTCTCCTAGAGTGGGTCTTAAGAATAAAAATAGTGTAAGCGCTAACAGTTGAGGTGGTGAAATGCGAAGTTTGCATCGTGGACTAAGATTTAATAAGGAGGTGATAATGCCAAGAGACTGAAAATAAATTTTATCGGAAATATTTAATATTCGTAAGTCTCCCCAGGCTTTTTTGAATGGACTATTTACTACTGGGTAGGGAGGACTTTGTCGCACATA